ATAAATAGATAGATAAACAGATAGATATATAATTTATATATAAGATTATGATTTTTGTAGTCATAGATTCTTGTCTTATATTTTATTGCAAATTACTATATATATTGAGTATTTCCTTATTTTATCATTAGTTTAATTTTCTACTAAACTTCAAGAGTAGTGTTAGACAACTAATAAAAATAGATTAAATACTAGTTTTTTTTTGCTGATAAGTGTACTACACTTTGAATATGTTTTTTTTGTATTTGTTTTTGTAAATTTAAAATAACAACTTTAATTCCTATTATTATTATTATTAACTATTATGATAATAGCTTTATCTTTGTTATATTATAGTAAATATCTGTTTTCGTAATAGTGGTAGTAATGGTTAGGATCGATGTATACAAATGAGAAGCTCCTACAAGAAGTCAATGGTTGGTACAAACAAATGAATAGTAGAGATCACATGCCGAGTATGAAAGCGATATATAAAAAATGCCATTAAATGGCTTACAGACCACGCATTTTAAGCGCTATTTTTTGTATTAGCAATTCATTGAATATATAATAATAATAATATTCATATTTATTTATATATATATACTTATAAGTCATACAATATATGGGCTAACCGTGAGAGAAATATACGGGTATAAGTTTAATATAATAATAATAATAATAATGGCATTCAATGTTTTATTTGCATAGAATTATACAACGATATGAATGAATATCTATGAGTGACCCAAACAGTATTTAATGTATTATATATATTAGTAATAGTGTACAGTATATGTAAAACATACACTAAAAGTGATAAGCAATTAGACATTACTGAGCATCAGTGCCATCAATCACTGTCCCTGAATCCAACTGTGCCATTTATTATGCCTCAAAAATTGAACCTCTAGTAAGGCCTCAGCACTTGCCATTCAGTTGTCTTATTTGTTGTACACTTCTTTCTCAAGAAGTCATAAGCAATACCAACAGTGCATCACAACATACCTTACCATATATTTGATATATATATATATATATACTGTATATACAGTTTATACCTATAAATATATATATATTATATATGTCCTCTCACACTCTCACCCACTATAGACAGTATTAGATACACACAGTTAACAGGCATAACAACATATATCACACAACATATTGTAAATATAAAAATATATTTTTTATCACTACTGAAAAAAATGTTTTACAAAAAAAAACGTTTTCTTCAGTGAAATCACTGCTGACATCGGCTAATGATTGCATTATTTCAATGATCAATGCATTCAATTTGTTAATGTCTATAGTATAGAGACTATACACTCGTTTTATTTGCCATTTGATTCAATTTGTTATATACCTCTGTGTTTGCCTATCAAACAAAAACAAAAAATCAGTAAAAAACCACAAAACTAAATATATATATTTTTTTTGTTGAGTCTCCACTATATTTAATTTTCTATTGCATGTTATCTATTAGACATAATAATATATTTTGTCTGTTTAGTTGTCTCCAAAAATTTATCTATTAGTCTAAATGTATTGTGTGTTACGCTTGAAAAGTTAGCTAACAATCTCATTGAAACATAATTTAAGTATATATTTTGTGACACTTTTTTTCAAACATCACTAAAATATGTTTGAAAAAATATTTACACTAAATTTTAGAGAAAATATTTTTGGTTTGTTTAATTTATTAATGCAATTTTCAAGATTATTATTGACTTTTTTTGACAAAATATAAATATATTATTAAATGTCATATAAAATATAAAAAGTAAATGTATTGTTATTATTATTTATTAAGCAAATAATAAAAATCTATAACCATTATATGGCTTAATATTTTCAATTGAGCTGTTTGGTTGGTCAATAATTTTATTACATTTTAATAATTGATGTGATATATAAAATATCAAAAAACTTTATATTTCAGTTTATATATAAAAATTTTAAAAGCAAATATAATATAACAAATATAATAAAGACTATATTATCTTTATATTGACTATTAGTATACTTTTATATTTTGCTTTGTTGTACATCTTTTGCCTATAAAAAAGTAATTTTGATAAAAGCCGTCAAATAAATACAACATATGTTTAATGGCTGATAAAATCATGGACTCAATTGTCAAATACTATGCAAATATATTGCATATGTATGTAATAACAATGAAAATTGTATATTAAATAATATAACATATACAAAAAAGTTTAAGTGTTTGCAAATTATCATTTTATTTAATCTCATTTATTATTGTTATTATTATTATCATCATAATCATCATTATGAATTTTCATTAATGTTATAACATTTTTATACAATTATAATTAAGAATTTTTATATAGATTACAAGTTTAATAATAAGAATAATAATAATATAATATATATTTATACATATATATTATTTATACAATATTTATAGGCATATATAATTTACAAACAATTTTATTATTAAGAGCACAACAATTATCATATAATAATAATAATATATATATATATATATATATATATGTTAATTATTTATTTATTATTATTGGTATGAATTTTTAAAAATTTATTACACTTATAATTTTGTAACATATTTATATATAACATATTAATTGTTAGGTTAGTTATAGACGAGTTGTTTGTTAATAAATAACCTGTTTTTATGAAATATTGATTTTTTTGTTTTGTTTTAAACATTTTGTTTTGTGGCACAGAATAAAATGTATTGATTGTAACTAATTTGCTAATTAGGAGTAATTAATTAAAATTATCCGAGTATTTCCTTTTACGGTATTTTTATTTTATTTTTTTCAGCAGATCTTTTTGAGTAATTATGAAATAATGAGGAATAAAAAATATTATATCACTATATTTTTTGTTTATGTACAGATATTGTCATCAATATAAACTATTTTGTATATATGTATGTATATACTAATATATAACCCTCAATCGTATTCTTGTTTAAAAAATATTTTCAATATTTGTTTGACCTTTTAATGGTGTTTAATTTAATAATAATGTGATCCATAATTTATGGACTGACATGTAATGTCCTCTCAAAAGTATTGATAACCAACAACAAAAAAAATCACAATAAAAACATAACAATTTTGCAAATTCACATTCACTCTATTGTTTATTTGATTTATAATTATCTATACTTTTTTTAGACACTGTATATGTACTGTATGTTTGAGTGTGAGAGAGAAAGATATTGTACTATGAAATTGCAAATTCTTTATATACACACAAAATACACTCATTTAGGCAATCATTATATGTTTATATAATTTATAAATTATAAAAAGTTTGTTGTTTATGTTTGTTTGGTTTACATAATTAATATGACATTTATCCTATTAGTTTTTATTTAGTAATTGGGTATTTAAAATTTTACTGAGTCATACATTGTAAATACCTTACATACTCTACATATATAAGAAACCTTAACTATATTGTATCATATTATAAATATATATAAATTATATTAAATATATGTATATATATTTTTTTGTTATGAATACAATAATAGCTTTGTTTAGATATCTATAAGTAATTGATTATTAAATATAATGAGTAAATTGGTTTTGCTTTTTTCTATTCAATGAGCTTTTCATATGGTTTCTCATATATTTTTTTGTATATCGACTAAAATTCTATTGTAATCATTTTTTGTGTTTTTTTTTCGGTTATCGTTTCTCTTTCATAGCTAAAGCAAAAATACAAAGTTTTTTATGTTAATAACTGACTTATTGTTGTTTGTTATCGTATATATATTTTTTGTGTTTTACTGTCAAAAGGCTTTCACCATTCATTAAGTTTTGCAAAATGCGGAACAAATTCAAACATTTTTTTATTTGCTATCAATTTTGTTGCATATATTTTCTTTTGAGACATACATTACATAAAATACAATATGTTTTTTGCTGGCTGTGTTTCAAGTGAAAAGTTATTATTTTTTGGGCCATACCTTGTATAAAGTGATAGGCCAGAGCTCTCTCAATGTAATGTGAGTGTATATTATGTGTACAGTACTGTCACTTTTGGTATAGTGTGGTATCAGTAGGTATATAGCGATACTCTTGTCATTTAAATGCCATTTGATGGCCTCTCACACTCATTACCAGTGCATTACAGTGCATACAGTTTGGGACTATGTTTCCAAAACTTTTCTCATGTCAGCCACAATAAAAAAGCATACGGTTTAGTAGCATAACTAACATAACTTATTATATGAATTTCATGTGTGTATAAATATATATATATATATATATATATGTGTGTGTTTCATGTGAATACAGCTGTCCCGACAACATCCAGGTCCTCAACACACATACTGTATATATATATATTACACACGAACCGAACGGTGCGGTACAGCTGAAACTGACTGACTTCCACTTGAAAAACCATCTTTCCTTTTGGCTGCCGGTGTTCACATTATCTCGTAATTAGCTCTCACTGCAGCTCCAGTTCCTCATAACTAACCAATTGATAGGTAATTCACGCAGAGTTGAGTCATTGGTTTCTCTATGCCATCACTACTGTTCCCAATAAAAACTCTTTGTTTGAAGATTTTCTTTTTTTTCTCTCTCTCTTCTATTTTCTCAAACCATAGATTTATCGGATATTTAATAACAATTTTCTGGTAAAATGTGTTTTGCGTTATGTTTTTTTGTGACATTTTATTTATGAAGTAAATAATATGGACACACAATACTGACTGATATACTGGTATATAATGTCATTCATTTTGGGATTAAATGATTTTCCAGTCATTCATTCAATAAAATTATTTCCATTGAGATAGAAGTTTGTTTAAGCGAAACATTTTTTTCTAACAAACTTTGATAACAAGTTTTAATATTATTACTATATTATTGTTAAAACTCTTTTCAGTGGCACTCATAGGACAGTCATAAACAGGCACTCACTTTAGTTAATTAAATAAATGTATTATACTATTATTATTATTATTATTATGACAGTCAATGTACAGACAATAGTGATGTTTTGGTCTAAACAATCTCTGCGTGTCGTTTCATATGTAGCGACAAGTGATCGGATCGGGAAAAGGCTCGTTCACAGAGTCGGCATTGAAAGGGTCGGTCGCCGGTATGCTTACGGAAATGTCGGGTGAGTTCATCAGATCGGGCAAACTTCCAGCCACAACCTTTCCAATTGCACTGATATGGCTTCTCTCCCGTATGTGTCCTCAGGTGAGCCTTCAGGTGTGAGCTCTTTGAGTAAGTTTTAGTACAGCCCGGATAGGAACAGGTATGTAAAGTCACTTTCTTGGGCCCTCTGGCTCGTCGCCCTCTACGTGGTTTTGTTGGTTGCACTGGCGGACCAACAGCAGCTCCAGGTATGACTTGGTGGCCAATCTGTCCCACTTGTATTTGCGTCGGAGCTGTATTCTGAAGCGATGCCGTATTCATTGTATTGCAATTAATTGTTATATTATTTAGATGAGTGTGTAGCGTATGGGCATTGGCTACCTGTCCTATTGGTGATGGTTTACTTTGAGTTGACAGCAATTCAGCAAGATGTGGAGACGCCGGAGGGGTTACTAGACTTCTATGGGACGGGTGGTGATGTAGCGGTGCACTTGCATTGGGATAATTCATAGTATAATTATTGACTACTGTATGGCCGGGAACATGGCCTGGGGTTACTTGAGATGCCTTTCCATAAGAATATTGCTCGGAATTCCAGTGTAGATAAGTATTGTCTGAATATTGATCACAATAATAACTGGTCGACCCGTTCACCTGAGTGTGCGGTGTCGTTGACGGTATTGACGGCTCTTTGGCACCCGAGTGGTGGTTATGATGACCACCAATACGTTCTATACGTGAGCACAATTGGTTGTTATTAACAGTTTGTTGTGGATGCTGTTGTTGTTGGTGGTGATGATGCGGTGGAATTGGTTGGTTATGTGTTTGTGACCACTGCGAGACACTGCAGTAATTGTTATTATCGGTCACATACGGCACCATCTGATCATAGGTTGTCTCGTGGCTATTCTGGTGGTAGTCATACTCGGACTTTATATGACTGTACTCTGGCTTTACATAGACATCGTTGCCGTTGATGTTGTGTGGGGTTTGACTTTGTGGTGTCGGTGGTTGAGTGGTTGGTGTCTGTGACGACATGACATATCGGTGGGTATCGGTTGTCGGTGCATATTGAAGGCCGTCACTGATAAGCAGCACACTCTCGATATCCTGCCACATCTATATTGAACAGGGAGTTCATTATTAGACTATACAGTAAATATACACCAAATATATACTCATATATTAACAATTGACAAGTATTTTATTATTTTTATTTTAAAGCTTACATTAAATCTAGAATTCATTTACCAATTAGTCTAATAGTTTTAATAGCTCTATAAGTCTAAACCACAATATCATAGCTTATTGAAGGAAATAATATGTAATCTATAAATGATTATCACTGTTAACATTATAAATTAAATAGTATTTTATAATACATACTGAGATTTATATTAAGATTAATAGTTAATACTTAGCATTTATTATTGTTGTTTATTTGTTATCAAAATGCATTAATTTTAACAAATTGTTATATTAATAATAATAATAATAAATCAAATCAAATCAAATCAAATACTCACGTCATGAAAATCAGTCATTTCATTAGCCATCTTATGAGGCAATGGTGACATCACTGACATAACTGATTGATGTTATCAATTGACCAAAAAACTAGATTAAATACAACATTACTTATTATTATAAATTAAATAATTATCTAATTAATAATTTTACAATTATAATAATACTGCATATTAATGTATTTAAATCGCATTTCATTTTAAAGATTTTTTCTTATAAAAATTACTTTTAGTACTAATTTAAAGTATCTTTTTTTATATTAACGATTAAACTAAATTTATTAGAAATACATTTGAACTTTTTTATGTTTGTATCACAAATTTATATGCTGTTAAAAATTATTTTTTGAAATAAAAGTTAAAATAAGATTAGAATTTTAAACACAAATAAAAATGATATGCGATTTGATAACACATTAGACAAGATATGATCACAAAAATCAATGAGGATTTACCAAATGATTTGAAGATTTATAATTAATAATAAATTATTAATTTGTTGGTAGAGTTTGTTACATAAGATTTTTTTGTTGAATATATACTTTTATTAAAAGCAATTATTACGTGAATCACGTCTTTACACACAAAACAAAAGGTCAGCAAACAAATACTGAAGAGATCGGTGAGGATTGAGTGCTACCAAACATATACAAACATACGGCGCGCACCTGAAGGCGAACCGTGCGCTTAGTTGTGTTAATAATGTCTGTCTGACACTCAGTCTCTCTATGCTTTCCTCTCTTTCTCTCTCCTCTTCTCTCTATAACTACTCTAACTCACGAATAGCTTCTTCACTGTCCAGTTGTGTGTTTGTTGTGTAACAGAGATATTACGATAGCATTTGGACTGACTTTAGATGTTTAGCTCCTCTGACTCACAGAGTGTGTAATCCCAGAGAGCTGTACCTCAAAACAGCATCACAGCTAACACTGTACTGACAAGTATATGAATCGTTTACCTTTATTTCTCTGATTTTTAATGGACAGGTATTTTACTATCTGTGCACCAGAAAGTATATATATATACTGTATGTACAGTATGTATACAGTAAATATCGTACAATTCAAGGCAATAGGAGATTGAAGTATTTCAGTTGAGTACAGAGCACAGGCAGATTGTGTGACGCCTTATTCCCCACCTCGAGGGCCGGTCGTGTGCCGTAACATAAGCCACGGTATAAACATGATGTGCAAAACGCGTCAGACTTGTAGTTAACTTCTTTGCTATCATTTAACAAATTAATAGTATTGCTGGAGATATCATTTGCTACGATCACTGATTGAGTGATATTAAGATTTAATAAAATAACAATAATATTATTAATATTTATAATATTTTATAATACTATATTTTTACAATTAATGTTTAAAAACATATTAAATTATTTAAAATCATATATTTATCTATCGTTTTTAAATAAGATTTTTTAGCATTAAAATTATTTGCATTTTATAATAGTTTTTTAATTGAAATTTGTTGTTTAAAATGCAAAGAAAAGCTTATCAATTAAATTGAATTATAAATATAACAAAGATATAAATATATTGATTTTGTCGATTGATTTACTTATTGTAAATTAATTAACTCTATCGACAATTGCTTGAGTGTGGGCTCAGAGCTCACACACGGATAAGGATGTGAAACGACTATATCTTATGACTTAAACTACTAAACATTCATTACATAACCCACGCAACATATGATATATACATTTATACTGTATATAAACTTTTTGTATAAAAAACTTTACGATTTATATCAATCTTTCTCTTGCCATCTCTATGTCTCTGTCTGTTTGACTGTTAGTTACCTCTCCATCAGCAATGACTTCCAATAAAAATAACAAAATTGGAGACTTATTAGAGCTACCAGTGCTTACTAGTCCTCATTTTATTGGCAAAGAAGCTTAAAATCATAAAACAAAATAAAAACCCATAAATACAATGAATTGATAGTTAAGTCAATGGTAGCAAAGATTCTTCTAAACTGTATATTACATGATATCCTTTAATATATGATATAGCTCTCTCTCTCTCTCTCTCTCTCTCTCTCTCTCTCTCTCTCTCTCTCTCTCTCTCTCTCTCTCTCTCTCTCTCTCTCTCTCTCTCTCTCTCTCTCTCTCTCTCTCTCTCTTTCTCTCTCTCTCTCTCTCTCTCTCTCTTTTATATATCATAGAGTTTATTGTCTTTTATTTTATCAAAAGATTAGTTATATGTGTTGTGAGGATATTCGGTAGAGCGCCGGACGATCTTCTCAGCTCAGGTACACAACAATTGTGTCTCACTTTATACACTGTACCTGATATGCAACTACAGGTGCACTATTGAAAAGCCCGGAAATATGAAATGAGAGAGAGATGTCTGAGCGCCGGAAGTCTAATATTTCTGTTGTATGACCACTATGTGTGACGTCACGGCTGTTCGCACATTCATTCATTGGTATGACTATTCGATAGTAGAGGACAGGTAGACACTACATCCATAGAGCACTACTACCATTAGTTAGTCAAATAAATATATTTATATTTGCATATTATTGAATATGAATGAACTTTTCATAAATTTTATATATCTTATCGATTTTATGTTATAATATATATAGTGTTAGTGCTTTAATGAAAAAAGCACCGGTATTTATGTGTCGATACGCTAGCATTTACCCTCTGAGCTCATGTAGCACTGACTGACCGTGAAATTAATGTTTTGATTGCATGCCTCCAGAATTTTCAAATAAAATTTGTAAATTTTAAATTCCGGTATTTATTTGTATTTAATTTGCAAATGGTTTTTGTATACTCTCTTTTAATTTAATAATTTATATCCCATTGAGTCTCATAATTAGATTTAAATATTCAACTATTTTTTCTGATTACGAGTTTTCGTGAAATGAGTTTGTTTTTAATAGCTTTTATTTTTTATTGTTTTTTTTGTTTTAGTTTTTTTCTGTGAAATAAATTTTTACACATTTTTCTAAATTAATTAATTATATTTTTTTAAACAAGTAAAATGACATTAATTGCAATTATAATATACATAACAATACTATAAATTGTTAAAATAGTTTTTTAAAATAATATAAATTTATTTACTGTATGATATAATATATGTAGACTTTAAAATTTTAAACATGAATGAGTATTTCTTTCAGATAAATATATAATATATAAACAGAATATATGTATTATTTATAAATTAATAATTCATAAGTATTTTTTAGTAAAAAAAGTTTATGGGTTATGTTAATACAAAGTTTTTATTAAAATATTAAAAAACAAAATATTTTTGACGATATAAATCTAAGTAATATTTTAATTAATTAATTATAGTCTAAAAACCCTAAACACAATATAATCAATATAACAGTCTATTCTATTGTAATTATAAATATTGATTTTTATTATTTCATAAAATTTCATTTAATGATAAAACATGTTTTTACTTAATTATATTATTTGTTGGCAGTGTATATAAAACTAATTTATAGATTTTAATTAAATTAAATATTTGTGTCTTATGTGTATATTAAATTAAAACACATTTTTTGATAAAAATTAATGACTTTTCAACTTATATGGTTTTATGAGATATTTCGTTTAACTAAATTTAACTAAACTTTTCATATTTATTGATATGAATTTAATACATAATGAAAATGCATTAAACTTTTATGTTTTTAATATATTTTTCTAAAAATTAATAAAATATTATCTATATTAAATATGATTAACATAGTAAGCAGATTTATTATTTATTTACTACATATTTTTTTTCTTAAAATAAAACTATTTTTAAAATTGTTTTATACACTACCAAGATAAATTAAAATAAAATTAAACTCAATATCTATTCAATATAATTTACTATATCATATAAGTTGTTGTGGAGTCAATTTTGAGTGAAAATAACTAACTGTTATCAAAATGCATTAATAACCTTATAAATCATATTTATATATTAAATAGATAAGTATCACTTCAGTAATTTATTAAATTTTTTTGGAATTTTTTTAGCAGTGAAAGTATATTTTTAAAAATTGCAAATATTTTTTATTTATTTAATAAATTTTTCTTTTGTTATCTTATATTTATTTAATATTTTTGTAAATTAATTTGTGACAAATTTATCATACTTATAATTAATTTAAATTTTTTGAAACATTTAAGTGTTTATATTTACTGTTTATATATTTAACAATTTCATAGCTTATATTATAAGTTCCAAATTATAACATTTATCAAATTTGATTAAAGTTTATACAAATATAGTAGCAAATTCAAGAAAGTATTTTAATTGCTGTATAAATTTATATCATTTTATAATTTGTAAGTATAACACATATCATTCAATAAGAAATCAAGTAATAATAGCAAAATATATGAATGAAAAAATTTACACATAAATTGCATGTAATTATATAATTGGTTGAAATAATTTAATTCAATTATCTTTATTTCCATTTTTGGTCACAACAATACATTTGATTGATTCAGTCACACAAATACTTTAGAAAACAATAAATTGTAGAAACTTCACAAATCTCTCTCTCTCTCTCTCTTTCTCTCTCTCTCTCTCTCTCTCTCTCTCTCTCTCTCTCTCTGTTATATGAAATACATTGCTATTCACACTAACGGTCGGCTTCTTTTGCCTCTCAAACTATCAATGAAAATGCTCTTCAAAACTAAGGAGTAGTTATTGATAGGGCTAACCCAACACCACAATTATATCTACTATTACTACTAAAAGGCCTATGTTTGACCATATGCTTTATGTGAGGGGCACTGGGTTATCAACAATGGCCAGTTATAAACGCCAATCAAAACTAATGTACATAATTAGTGATATTAATAGGTCTTTTCTATTGTCAATTCGTACCGCTTTTGAACTGACTGTCTATGAAAAACATAGTGTTTCAAAAATATTGATACTTTTGTTATCCAATAAATTATATGCAATGAATATTACCATACATTAACCGACACTTCAAAAATAAATATATATATAATGTGTTTGTATGTGTGAGGCATTTAATAC